CTATTATTGTTATTAACAATATTATTATATCATTGTTATTACTGTTATTATTGTTGCTACTAGTACTACTACTAGTAGTACTAGTAGTAGTAGTAGTAACTATCATTATTATCATTGTTATTATTGTTATTATTATCATTATTATTATTATTACTACTACTACTGTCGTTAAGTTGGCTTATTTTTTGATTTTAAAAATTAATTGAAAATAATACCGTGTTCATTTTTACTTTTTACTATTTATTGATTAATGGTGCTAAATATGAACTTTTTCTTTTAAAGAACATACGGCAAATTATGTGTCATAATATAATTTTGCTATGCTTAATTTTGAATATTAGCATACTGGTACTTTTAAGCTTGTAAAATTTGAATCTAAACTTTTAAAAAATCTCATTTTAAACTTCACAATTCTAAATTTTCAAAATAAGATTTCGATCCAAACTTTTTGCCAATTTAAATTTCTCATAAATGTCTGCACGAAAATTGCAATCACTTCCAAATTTTAAATTTGTTTAAAAAATTTTTTTTTGGAATTTCAATATTTTAATCTGTTCTTCTTGCAACCCGATAATTAACCTGAATGCCATGGTTGTCACATCTTCCGATACATTCCGGAATTTTTGCCACTTTCTTATTCCGGTTTTTACTTTCCAATTTTCCTCTTTTTTATCTCATTTTCATCCATCTTCTAATCAAAATTCTATTCAGTTTCTTTCATTCTTTCTTTTCCTTCTTCTTTTCTTCTCTTTCTCTCATCCATCATCATTATCAAATCATTCATTCCTGAAGTTAACAATTACTAATAATTGACGATGAATTGGAAAAAAAAAAAATCATCTATCATTGGATAATTGTTGAAGATACATTAGCAATAGACGAGTTGAATAGTTTCAAATTATAATCATGCTATCATTGATCACATTTAGTGAACCGGAAGGAAATATATTTCCGGTTTGTAAGAATAGTTTCTTCAATGATAGCCGGATGTATGGCTTCATTATTGATGATGTTACAAGAATTTTCTTGTTGAATAAACATATAAATATACTCGAGAATCCTGGGCAATACTAATTGCATTACAAATATGCAATTTATATGATTACAATATTCAATCAAACGGAAAGAAGTATTATATACATGGAATTATATTTGTACATATTCCCGGTTGTAATTTACTGGGAGGTCGAGGATAATCTGAAATAAATTTTCCTCCGTCTACCATAATTGAATTGGTGAAAATTCATTGGTATATTTTTGTCTCGATAATGCATAATTAGATTAGAAATATACAAAATTATCAAATTTAGTTGACCAGAAAAAAAAAACTATATTCTTGGTAGATATTCGTAGTAAAAAAAAAAAACAAAAACAAAATCAAAAACTAATTTTAATAATTATAAAAGAATATCCAAACAAAGAGTTTTTCTTTTTTTTTTGTAAATAAAATTTCAATAAAAAAAAAAGCAAAATGAAAAATACAAAAGCGAAAAAAATTTAATTATTTTAAAAAAGTAAAGTATTTTTTCAAAAAAATAAAGTTGAAATAAAAAGCAAAAAAAGAAAAGAAATGACGCATAAAATTTGTGGTTAAAAATTGATCCAAAAGAATAATTTTGAAAAATGTGTGACAGATGTTTCGTATTTTACGATATACTAAATGAGCCTCATGGGAACCATCAAAGTAAAGTGAATGGTTAAGTATTGCTAAGATAAAAAAAAAAAAAAACGAAGAATTTTAAAAAAAAAGGCGAAATTTACATTTTTACTTTTTTTTCAAAATTTTTTCTTCGCCATTTCGAATATTTTTAGAAATTTAAAAATGAAAAATGAAAAAACAAAATGAGAAAATTGTGGGAATAAATGATAAATTTGACGTTATTGCAAAAAAAAAAAAAAAAAACAAATGTTGGCAATATTTTCTTTAAAAAAAAATAAATAAATTTCCCCTCAAATTTGTTTCTTTTTCTTATATCCAAAATTAAAATTTGTCCATTTTTTTTGAACTTTAAAGTTAGTGTGAAAATAACTGAAATTTTAAATATTTAATTTTTTTGTCATCATCATTTTTTAATATTCGCAAATAATAATAACAATAATAATGGTAATAATAATATAATAATAATAATAATAATAATAATAATAAT